GGAAGCCCCCCCGGACGGGTCAGCGTACCCCAAGCGGGCCGGGCCTTGGTCGTTTTCCGTCGTTCGTCGTCGTGGTTCGTTGGTTGTCGTCTACAAACAACGGGCGGGGACGGGCAGGCTTCCCGGCCGCGTTGGCGTGAGCAGCCATCATGTTCGTCCAGGGCACAGGGTAGTCCGGCATCCAGGAGGGCAGCGACGCTATTTGCGCCAGGAATGGTCCAGCACGGCGGAGAGGATGCGAAGCTCGCCGGCATCGAAGATGATTCTCTTCGTCTCCTCTGCGTACACCCGCTCCACCGGCTTGGCGTAGTCCGCCCTCCACCGGGGCCGCCTCCGCTCTCCCGCCTCCGCCTCCGCCTCCGCCTGGGCCCGGTTGAGCAGGCCGTAGACCCCGTATATTTTGTCCCGCGGGTCGGTGGCGAGGAAGTGCCAGGTGTCGAAGACGAGGTTCTCCAGCGAGACGGCCCTCTGCCTGTCCTCGGAACCAGACCTGAACCGGTCCTGCCACTGCAGCAGCTGGACGACGGGCTGCTCGATGCCGCGGCCGCCCTCGCCCAGGGCGACGTACCTGGCCGACGCCGCGGCGCCCATCCGGCGCTGGCGGGAGTGCAGCAGCTCGGCGGCGACGCAGAAGGGCCGCCAGGGGATCTCGACGCCGCCGCAGTAGGCGACGACGACGCCGGAGAGGACGACCTCCTGCACGACCCAGAGCCGGCGGAAGTACTGGCGCTGGAACAGGGCCGCCAGGGCGTCCCACTCGCCCTCGGAGACGTACGGGATGCCCTCGCTGGCGTGCAGCTCGCGGCCGTTGGGCGCGTACGGGACGATGCTGCTGTCGACGAGCCGGCTGCCCGCCCGCGCGAGCCTGGGTATCAGCTGCGCCGCCCGCTTCGTGTAGCCGTCCTCGCGGCCCAGCCAGACCAGCGTGAAGGCTGCCTGCTGGTATATCCGGTGCATCAGGTCGACCTGCGCCGACCGCTCGTCCGCGTCCGCCTGGTTGATGCACACCTGGTCCACCCACAGCCACTCCTCCGGCCTTTCTCCTGCTGATGCTGATGATGCTGCTGCTGCTGCCGCCGCTTCATCTGCTTCTGCTTCTCCTTCTGCTTCCACCAGGATCTCGCCGTCGACGTGGGTGTGCAGCCTGGTCTCGCTGCGGCGGTCGAGGACCGTCCGCCACGCATCCGCCGGCACGTCTCGCAGCGCATCGTACAGGTTGCGACTGACCAGCAGCCGCTGTCCGTCGCACTTGACCGGCACGCCTGCGCTGGGGAACCGGTACTCTGCGTCCAGGGCGTTGTAGTGCTGCGTGAAGCGGTGGCCGTCGCGGGCGCTGGCGTGCGGGTTCCCCCACGTATACGACAGCGCATGGAACGGCGGCGCGGCGTCGAGGTCGACCGTCCGCAGCGTGCATTCCAGCGGGCTGAACTTGTCGCGGCCGTCGATGCGCAGCAGCCGGATGGACGTCGCGGTCGGCAGCCGCTGGTACTGGTGCTGCATTCTTTCGTTGTTGTTACGAGTTACCCTGCACAAGGCTAAGATGGTTTATAAAGTAGATTCATTCGTCTAGATCGTATCTATGCTACAGGCGTCATGCTACAGGCGTCATGCTACAGAGCAGAACGAACAAGGAGAAGAACGAGCAGGAGAACGAGCAGGAGAACGAGCAGGACTACTCGTATATGTAGCTAAAGTACTTCATGAACCCGGTGCGGACGGGCAGGGGGCGCTCGGCGGCCACGATCTCGTCCAGGCCGGTGACCATGTCGACGTCCTCCGGCCGCCAGGCCCAGGGGTCGGAGCGGGTGTACCAGCGGTGGCCAAAGTAGACGACCAGGAAGGCCGGGATGCCGATGTAGGCGGTCAGGAAGTCCGAGGCGTTGAAGCGCTGCGGGAAGAGCGTGTCGAAGCCGTTGATGAGGATGAGCAGGACGAAGCCGACGATGCCGATGCGGGCGCCCCAGGGCTGGAAGCGCGACCGGTACGTGAGCTCGATGCCCTGGACCTGGACGGCCTTGGTGAAGCGGAAGTGGATGATGCAGCAGCACGTCCAGCTGATGAAGGCGGACGTGTTGGTGAAGCTGACGAACCAGTTGAAGACGCGCGAGCTGCCGCTGCCGACGGCCAGGTAGGCCAGCGGCAGGAAGAGCGCGCTCGCCGCCAGCGCCATGTACGGCAGGCCGTAGCGGTTGCACGCCCGGAAGATGTGCGGGGCGTCCCCGGCGACGGCGAGCGAGTAGAGCGCGCGCGAGGACATGTACAGGTACGAGTTGCCCGAGCTCCACGCGGACGTGAGGATGACGGCGTTGACTATCCCCGGCAGCACCGCGATGCCTGCGTTCTTGATGCCGAAGACGAACGGCGACGAGCCCGCGCCCGCGCCGCCGTGGGTCAGCGACGACTCGTTGGACGGGCAGGTGACGCTGATGGCGAGCGAGCCCAGGATGTAGAAGAAGGCCAGGCGGTAGAAGAAGCGGCGCGACGCCCGCGGGATGTTGTGCCGCGGCGACTCCATCTCGCCCGCCGTCTGGATGATCAGCTCGGGCGCGAAGAGGAAGGCAAACGCGCTGAGGACGATGCACTTGAGAAAGGCGACGAACCGCCCCGCGTCCCCCTTGACGATGTGCTCGTTCGCCGGCCGCGGATGCGTCCAGTAGTGGAAGCCGAGCCGCTGGTGCGACGGGCCGCCGCCCCAGAACAGGACGAAGGCCAGGATGATGAGCCCCAGCATCATGATCACCTTCAGGCCGGCAAACCAGAACTCGGACTCGCCGTACCAGCGGACCGGCAGCAGGTTGAGCGCGACGATCACGACGAGGAAGATCGAGATCCAGACCGCAATGTTGATCGAGTCGTTCCAGTAGCCCACGATCAGCGAGGCGGCCACGATCTCGTTCGGCACCAGGATGCCCAGCGAGTACCAGTACAGGTAGCCGAGCGAGAAGCCCAGGCTGCGCGACACATACCGGAAGCCGTAGTAGCTCATCGTCCCGCCGTGGACGGGCAGGTAGGTGCCCACCTCCGCGATCGCGGTGACGACCAGGTAGACGAGCACCCCGATGAACAGGTACGCCGACACCAGGAACGCAGGCCCGCCGATGGCCAGCGCCTGGCCTGAGCCGACAAAGAGGCCGGTCCCTATCGTCCCCCCGAGCGCCATCATCTGGACATGTCGCGACTTGAGGCCTCGCTGCGTCTGGTTGTACCGCGTGTCGTGCAGGCTCGCCTCGACCATCGCCCGCATGTTGTTTCGCTTCTCGTCCCCGTACACCGGCGGCGGCGGCGGCGCCGCATACTCGCTCGCCTCGACGTCGGGCTCTTCACGGCCCATCTTGAACGCTCGGTGCGTCGCTGTCGTAGTTGAAAGCAGCCGTCGTCGTCGTTGTCGTCGGGCAGTCAGAGAGTCGTTCGTCAATGGCAGCTTGGAAGCTCAGCCGTCATATATATACGCACACGGTATATATATGGTATATATGGTATGAGTGTGAGCGTGGGTAAATGGTATGTGTATGGCGGACGGTGACAGGCAAAGCTTTTATATATCTCCATCCATGTAACCAGCTTGGGGAAAAATGGAGAAAAACTCTCTCTCCGGCGAATCAGCTTCGTCTTCTTCTTGCTTCTTCCAAGAGGCGTTGCTCTCAGCGTCGACCGACCTGTATACTATGTACCTCGCAAGGGACAAAGACCAGCCACCGCATACGAGGGATGTCTCGTCGTTTCCCCCAGCCGGTTCGAGCTCTCCCATCAAGTGCTGCACAAAAGCGAGCGAATAAAACAGCCACTCCTAACGGGCTAATTACCTCAGCCAAAGAGGCGAGAGTTTAGCCTAGGGCGGCTCCCATGGCTTCTTCGAACCGCAGGCTGGCTCCTTTGCCTTCGAGCCCTCCATCCGGCCTCCGCCTCCTCTTCCTTGAGCCCTCCATGGCGTTTTCAAGACATGTCAAGCTTTGCTCGGGCGCAAAGACGAACCTCATCCCTCGTATACACAGACGCTGTCGTGTGCCTTGAAGGGTCAGACTGTACCTTTGTAGACCGACCCGCAGTGAAAAATTCAAAGACTCTTGGTAAAGACTATCTTTTCTTGTCCATGGAAGACTTCCGTTGACTAACGAGTCGTTCTTACACGCATCGGAGGATCCATCGCGGGTCGGATATTAGGATATTGCATTCTCCACAGCAACAGACAGGGCTGGTTGGACCATATAAACTGTCATGTATATACCGCGGCCCGGCAGCATCCTATGTATCGAAATATCTCTCGCATATCTCTCTCATATCTTGCTTGGTGAACCTGCCCACCGCCATGAAATACCTCATGGGGCTGCTAGTCAATCTCATCAGTGCAGGCAGAACCCGTATAACCCTTCCTTGAGTTGGAAAGCTCTTATCATGTAACCTCCAGGATGAACCCTTGTTCGCCTTTTGACAGGATGTACTACTTACTTTGGGTGTACGCAGCGTGTGCACCCAAAAGGCTGTGGCGGGCACACTGCATGAAAGCTAGCTGGGAATGACGGCCCGGTTGCGAATCCTCAGGTGATGCACGCCCTTGTTTGGTGGCTGTACAGTGTAAGTACTAGTATGGAGGACGTACATATGTACTCTGTAGATGACGTTGCTCTCTTTGTATCTCTTCGATAGCAATGGGATAATAGTTAGCATCTTCCAGAGTATCTCCTGTATAAAAACTCCTTCACAGTAAGTGTAGTGCAGCCCAGGCTGAAGTTGAGCCTAAGCTAGAACGTAATAAACACCTGACTACACATGTTAACTAGTCATGCAAGGATAAGAAGCGAGCACACGGCCTCGCTACACTTACTGCGCTCTATAACTTTGGTGTAAAGAACCTATGGACGGCAGAGCTGGCGGAGTTGCTAACTTTGGCAAGCTAGACGTTGTCGTGCACCCGTCTTAAAGGCACGTTCCATTCAAATCCGTGAAGAGGAATATATCGAACGTTGCAGATGTGTCAACCAAGCTCCCTGACAGCTGTGACCCGGCTGCCATTCCTGTCAAGGCTGGTCTACCGTACACAAGCCTACAGACACTGCCTGAAGGTGCTATCATTGCTACTTCTTTAGTGCGTCCCTCAGCACAGCTTCGTCGTCTATTTCCGACTCTGCGGTTTGCCAATGTACGCGGCAATGTTGAAAGCTTGACAATCCCACAGGCGAGTATACCTACATAGTGTAATGTCAGCCTGTGGCCTTGAGCGGGTTGGAATCGGTTACCATATCTGTCAACGGCTAGGCTCTAGGGACAGTGGGATCCTCCACGCGCGGTCGGCCCAGGGCGCGCAGGAGGCGACACCAAGGTTACTCATCTGCTGGATCAGCCGATAGATTATTGGCCTTGCCAAGTGTTCTGATGTGTGCGCTCAGGAGTGGTTGCAATGCCCCTATTGGCATTGAAACAGAGTGGACGGCGACTCATCTGAGCATAAGAGCTATAGTCGTCAGCTTGGACATTTCTCAGAGTGTCGAAGATGCCATCGATGCGATGATGCATACCAAAGATGAATCCGATGCTCCGGGACAGGCATTAGCTCGGCTGTTCGGGGCTGGGGTTGCTCCTATATTGATAGATATCAATAGGAACCAGCCATCTAAGGACTAGACTTCATGTGTATCATCAACGGCGTAGCAAACAAAGACAGGTCGATTTCTCAATCGTCTCACACGAATGTAAGGCACAACGGAAAGTAGACGAATCGCTCCGTCGAATCCTTGCCGTATGAACCGTTGTACATAGTAAGAGCTCCTGCTGCAGGGTCAGTTGGCTGTACAATGCCTTGAGCAACCACCTATAGAGTCTATAATTATTATCCAAAAAAAAAGCCACGGCGCAGTCCAAATCAAAGAAGTATTTTTAAATTCCAATATCTAGAAAATAAAACAGGCAAAGCCCACTTGTTGACATCAAGTCGGGGACAAGAAATCCAAGGAAGGCTGGAAAAGAAAGAACAGAAGAGAAGAAAACTAATTCATATCAAGAACAGAAATGCTTTATCGTTGTCTCGCATCGTTCATCGTGTCAGGTCATCAGGCAAAAAGGCAGCAAGCAGGTGGTCGGTTTAACAAGTTCAACGCTGTATTTCGTACTGTTCCAAGAAGCAAAGGAGGGAGAAATGGGGTACGGAGAAGAATCGGTTGGAGATCATGGCCAGATCATTTCACAGGTCATTCGTGCAGGAAATAAAATGTAGACAAGGAGATGAAGAATAGATAAAGCAGGGTACGATATCGTGCAAATTAAGCAAGGGAGATCTTTTTTTTAGAGATTTTCATAGTGTTTTTAGCCTTTTTTTCGAGTTTTTGGGGGTTTTGGCGTTTGAGTTTGGGATTGAAATTTCAGACTTAAAGTGCAGAATAGAGATCGAAAAAAGGGAGAAAAAAGTAGAAAAGATCAAGAGAGTGTAGGTAGAGGTGATACCAGCCACGAAAACCCAATATCAGGTTCGTACCATAGCCAGATATATAGCTGGAATACAGCCGGATCATGGAACGAAGCATGGCCATGAGTAACAAAGTAAAAAAATATGGACGTAGTGTCGTCATCGTCGGTAGGGTCGTATAGTATTCAATATCGATGAAAAAAAGAGAAATAAGAGTGTGATGTCGCAAATTAACGCAAGGGCATACGTTTGTGTGTATTCGTCTGCTCGTAGTCATAGTCGTCGTTGTCGCTGCTGCTGGTTCATTTTTCTCGTCGTCTCCTACAAAGTGCGAGAAGCGTAAAAAAGAGGGAAGCAAAACTCCGTTCCGTGCTCGACAATATATCAACTTCGGTGGACTGACGAACCAAAGAATATGAAAGTAAAGGGTGGTCCGCCATATGGTGACGCCGGGGAAATGGTTTTCTTTTTCTTTGCCATGTCTAAAGGTCGGAGAGGATTGAAGTTGTCGTTGGAAGCAAGAAATGATCATGCAACGCATTATAATACGGATAAGGCACCAGAAATACTCCAAAAGGCTAGCATGCAGTATCGTCGTTTCACATCATCATTCGTCGTAGTTTAAGCAATAAATAAAGTGGATGGGTTGCAGAATATCGTAGCGTGGGCGAGGGAGGAATAACTGACAAACAAGCTATGCCTCTGGCGAGTGTAGTGCCGTTACTGGAGCCTGTGCGCGATCCGTATCCGACGTATATATGTCTGCAGCCGAGGAGAGGTTAGGGAAAGCCGCTTGGCCTTGGGTATGTATAGGTGGATGCATGAGAAAAGTGTCAGAGCGCGAGGGTGCGTGTCGAGGACGGTAGTACTGCCGCGGTTGGGGATGCGGACGTTTGCTAGCGGGCAGATCGAGGTTGAAGGGAGAGCCCAGACGCTTGATTCTTTCTCCTTCAACTTCGAGTGTGTGTGCCTGGCTATGAGGAGGGAGGTCGTCCGTTTCATTGGAGCCAGAGCCCGAAGGGGGAGTGAAGAGCTGAATCAGTCGATGACGTGAGTTAATGTTGAGCATGTCGTTGTTGGTGTTGTAGCCACTGCTATTCGTGGTGAGACCTCTGGTGCGCGTACGGATGCGGACACGGTGTGGTGTCTGCTCTTTGGCATCAGCCGGGACTGGGACTTCGGGCAGATGTTGGAGATTTTTGGGAGTGAAGAGGTCAGGGGCAATTCCGGAGCGTAAGCGAGAACCAGTGACATGGACCGTATCGTGAGTCTCGACGGCAGGCTGAACTGGGGTGGTATCCGCCTGGGAGACACGAGAACGAGAGTTTGAAGGGCCCCAGGTATGGTACATGAAGGGAGAGCCGAGGCGGGGGATGTCGTCGTCGTCGTGGCTGGCAGATTTTATTGAACTAGCGGTGTTGGAAACTATATTAGGGGTTGAAGCAGCCTCTGGGGGATCACTAGGCACGGTTCCGGAGACGAGAGAGATGCCCAAGTCTCTAGTAAAGGGGACAGGTGTGGCAATGGTGGTGTAGTTGCTGAGCATGTCTGGAGGCGGGGACGGGCTCCGAGACTCCAAAAGCCGCTGATAGTGAGGAGCAATGGAGAATTTCCGTTTACACAGCTCCTTTAGTCTTCGTCTGGTGGCAGCATCGGAGCGAGGCCACTGAGGGGTGATCTTGCCGGTAGAATCGGCGCTCTCTGATGGCTGGGGGTGAGACTGAGACTGAGGGTGGGAAGACTGGGACTGGGATTGGGACTGAGACTGGGACTGAGGATGCGACAACTGAGGCTGCTTCGCTCTCAGCCAGGCTCTGCGCGCCTCCCGGGCGACACGGTGGGAAACTCCAAGTGGCGGCAGGCTACCGGGCAGCATCTTGAAGGGGGTGATGGTCGGGTCCTGGATGTGCGTCTGGTAGGTGTTCCAGAGGTGATGGTCCATCTCCGAGGACCAGCGCTGATTCTGGCTGAGGTGAGCCGGGATTACGGGAGTGTTCCTGACAGACTTGGTTGGGGTGTCGAGGTTATGCTTGTTGTCCGGCAGGGTGACGGCAAGAAAGGGGTCGTCTATCTCGGTCTCAGGGCTGGTGCAGCTGCCGCCAAAAGAGGGGAATGAGTCAAATGAATCGAACGACGCGGCAGAGGTGGAGGAGAAGGAAGAATCTGAGGCGTGAGAGCAGGCGGATGAGGGCCTGCTGATGGACGCGCCCACTGGAGTTGTCGTCCCATCTGCGGCACCGTTCTCGAACGATTGAGAGACGAGGTCGCGAATCTGGGCCGGCGGCGTCTTGGGTTCGTCCCTCTGTCGCCGAGGCACGTCGAGGAAGCCGCATCCGTCGAGCATGGCGGAAGAGGAGGCGGTAGTGATGGACTGCGGCTGCTCGCTGGCCGAGTCTGCCGGCGAAATACGCGACAATTCAATGGAGGGCAAAGGGACGTCTGGCGCGCAGAAGGGGATGGGCTTCCGCTCCATGCGCCGTCTCCTGACGCGATGAGAGGCGTGCTGAGGCCGTGGCGGGTTGGAGAGATCGCGAAGGGGACGGTCTGGCGTCCTGGGCTCCGACTCGGTTGGCGAGAAGAAGGTAAAGTCCTTTGGCAGGGTGTGTGCGCCAGCCATGGTTGAGAGGCGATTTTGCAGACTGATATTCGGACGTGCTCAAGGTGAAATTGTCATGGTCACAAAAGATAACACTCAGACAGAGACAGAAGGGTCACGGAGAGAGATAGCTATAGACCTGGCGTCTGTCAGGACCTGAGGGTGCTTGAATCTCGAAATGGACTGGACAGGAAATTTGGGACAGGTCAGATTCAGGCGCGCGTAAAGCGTGGAAGAGCGACTTACCAGGACTAAATCTCGGGTTTATAGGCGTTTGTAGCTGTTAAAGACGTCTTGTACCGTCATGTACTGTCTTTTTGGCGTCTCGATGGGTGGAAGTGACGGTGTTGCGGTGTATATCTGGTGGATTGGGGTCGACTAAGTGGCCGCCGGCCCTCCCCCTGGCCCTTCGAGACACGATCAGACGAAACGAGAGACGGGTTCTACTCGCGTATCCGTGTGTATCTGCACCCTACACAGCGTGTCTACAGCGCAGAGACTTATCCAGACCTGTATCCAGAAGTCCTCTCTGTCGTGGTGGACTTGTGGCCGAGGACCAGAAGATAGTAGAAGAAGTAGAGAAGAGAAGAGCCGAAAAGGAAAAAACTCGATGCAAGTCAGGTGAGGCCGTCATGCAGCCGCGCGGGTAGCTCAAGATACAAATCCCAACCAAGATGATTATTATGGCTCTGATGAAGATGTAGAAGACGAAGTTGTTGTAGTAGAAGAAGCGATGAAGTCGAAGAGTTGAAGTCGAAGTCGTCGTCCTAAAGCGGTAATCTTGACGACCGACGTTTACCAACAAATAACCCCCCTTTCAACATAGAAGAACCAAGGGTACAAGATGAAAAGGGACTCTTTACGGCTAGAGGACAGTGCAAACCTGGCGATGGCGAGCAGTTTCAGGCTTTCAGCCCGCGAGGGTTGTACGCCAGTGAGCAGCAACAGCAAGGAAACAGGAGGAACAACACGAAGAGGTTCTATAGGCCCTACGTCTAACAGTTTAACTAACAGTCTGGTACAGGCATTCTACCAGCATGCATTCCACTCAACTTCCACGTCGCCAAACGTTCCAGTGATCCCGTCGAGGCCTGTCAAGGCCATTGGGCCGCGGAGACCGCCAGGCCCGCCATGCTGACTCTCTGCTGCATCAGATGCCTGCATAGACTGCATACATAGTTCTATAGGCTGCACATCGGTCTGCACATCGGTCTGCGTCGACTGGCTGGCCCTTGGGCCTGTGGTGCTCTGATAGGCTGCCCTCGCCCTGCTCTCTCTCTGCCCAAACGGGGAGGACACGACATGGCTCTCACCTTGGCTGTGTGCCATGCTGTTCTTTCCCAGTTATCGCCAACGGCAACAACGACACGGGGTCACTTTGTACCACAGGTAAAATGCAGTTAACAAGTACCCAAAGCATAACCTGCTCGGAGATTATACCTCCTGGCTACTTGGGTAGGACTATCGAATCCCCATAGAAACGGTCCAACTTTGTACTTCTCCAGTGGGCATCTTGAAACACCCCTTCACCAACTCTGCCTACACCATCCTTTTCTTCTTTTTCATCCTTTTATGTCTTGGCATGAGTAAAGTTGGTCATGTGATGATTGTCTCATATTAACGCCAGGGCTTAGGGCTTAGGGCTAGTATAAGATCAGGAAAGGGATATCTATAAGAGAGAGTGACACCTATACCAGGGGATGCCCTTGACTCTTCTCTTGGTACCTTTCCATGCATTCCTTGATCCGTTAGATATCTCGTTTGCGGAGAACCCAGTAAGATATATAGGACCATAGTATGTCCCCTGTATCGGATCCAACCCGACCTCGAAGGTACTTGAACCCCTTGAGCCGTCTTCCACCATGCTATCTTATCACTACCTTATCGCTCTCTCTGCAGCCCCTGTAATTTATGTATATATATAGACCCCAAGCCATGTTAACGCTAAGAGGTAAAGGATGGACCTTGCAACTTGGCCAACTGTTTTGCATTCCCCAGACGAGCGCAAAACATGCATAACCCTCCTCCTTATAATCACGTGATTAATTACATAACCAATGAATATCACGTGGATCATCACCTCTCGACGAAGCTTCTCGGGACTGAATCTTGGTAGAGAGCGTCATGGACCAAATATGTTGGAAGCACATATATATATATACCCGTGAATATATGGCTCACATTTATATATCCATATATATAAGTGGGTTGGTCTTTTGGGACTAAACCACTCATGTGTATATCTAATATAATCGATCTAAATATACCAAGACAGTACAGTCGACAAAGTCTCCAGGCTTCCGGTGTCTTGAGATATAGCTTGTTGACCGGCTATGCCTGACAGGGCACAAAAAGACATAAGCTTGCCTCCCTCTGAGCCTGCACATCCCCCTGCGTACGAGAGTCTCTTTCCTGGGCGCCATCACGCCGTCTCCCGGTCATACGAGGGCTTGTGTCCCTGCAGCTGCCACTCTCTTCGACCAGGCCAAAGTTCTTCTTGCACCTTAGGAAGAGATACTAGCTCGGCGAGTAACAGTTTCCCTCAGAGAGATCATTGCTTGTTACTGACAGGAAGGAGTAATAGTCAAGGAAGCAGTGGTGGAAAGGGCTATCAAAACATCTCCCAGAAAGGAAGACAATACAGTATGGCTCTCCCATCTATAAAGGCCTGTTTTTGTGGCCTCTGTTGTCTTCTCCTCTTCTCTCTCTCTTTTCCCCAAGCTTCGACTTGACCACGTTTACCCCTCTGGATACTTTCACACCATTTCTCACAATGCCTGACATCGGGGACTAACATCGGGATTATATCCTTTGCTCTTTCTATCGTCTTTGCTCTTCTGGCTTCCTGGAGGTCGCTGTGGTTTAGGGAGTTGACTTTGTCGGTGTTGTTTTTTGGTGAATTATATCTTACTGCATATCACTAATACAATTTACAGAGGTCTGTGGCGACGCATAGGGCGTCTAAGGCACCTCCGTTACGAGGGTAGGTTTAGGCTGTTCTTCGAGGATCCCGTGCGCCCCCCGGATCCCGAAGAACCAGTGCTGGAAGAACACGAACTCGAGGAGCTTTCTCACCAGGAGAGCCGATCGTCTGGTGGACAAGGAAGTGGCATAGAATCCTCTGTGCAACCTCGACAGCGGCACGTACCACTCCTCACCGACGAGGAGATCCTGACTGGAAGTAGGATGCCATTTCTCACTGTGTTGTTGATAAACCAGATTTAACAAATACCATGTTTAGATCCTTGGACTGGAACGGACTCACAGACTGCTGAGTGATCAGCTGGGTGAGTTTATTTTTGTTCATATCATATACATTGCACTTTGAATCAGGGCTAACCTTTGGTTAGCTGACCCATCCGGTAATGCTTTCAACGTTGCAGCTGATTTCGCCTGGGATCGCCAGTTTTTCTGGGCAGCGGCCGTCTCCATGGCGGGGAGAATGGTTGCCGTCCGGTGGCCTTTCTCCATCAGCGGCGAGTTCACACTTCTACGCAGTGCTGATGACTAGTAGTTCAACCTGTTTGAACGAAGCTAAGATGAACTCAACATAATGTATATAGCTATCAGAGATGCTGAGCATGGTAGCATAAATCGGCTCCGTTATTTCCGACTAACCAGCGTAATCCCCGCATTTTTTTGGTTATGTAGTTTGTCATTATAGAGCAAACAGATGGCCATTGCAATATAGCATGTACGAATGGTGAGGGACTCTCTCAATATAAGAAGTCATAAGGAGGATAAGAAAAGAAACTGGTGGATGGGCTGATAACCATCTTTGGTCAAAGCAATTCATTGTAACTATTAGTGGACTATAGGATTTGCATTGACTACTACTCAACCATCCTAAAATACCACAGGGTTCTCATGGTGATAACCTACTATGTATGAGGATGAAGCCATATCTACATGATGCTGCTTCATATTCATCTATAAGTTCGGCACTCCCGTGCATTTTCGAAGGTTGAATTTGCAAAGTATTGGTTTACAGCTTTATCGTCCAAGCTACATTTTGATAAGACGGAGTTTCAAGATATTCAAATATCCGAAGTCTCCTTCAAAGAGTCTCTCTGTCCGTAAATACTGTGCACTTTTTATTGTCGAGTTAAGGGGCCTGATACGTGTGTTGAAAGTGGTATGTTGATGTATTTTCAATTCAGTAAATCATTTAATCTCTAACATCTGACGCCTAGCATCATGGCCATAACCCCCCAATCTGACTGAATATTTGTACTATGGAACAAACCTCTCCCTATGCGGATCAAATGCATATCGACGTCTAAAGGAAGCTAAACTTTGTGAACAGGGTGTTGTTCCTTACTTCTATGGGGTAATTGAGAATCTTGACCCAAACCTGTCTTCCGTAGTTACCTAGATACATTAGTGAAGGATGTATATCCTCCTACGGCTATACTTATTGGGTATATGAAAGAACCACAACTATACACCGGAAAGAGATTGGGAATTCTTGTCCAAAGTCACTCAAGTCTAATCGATCGTACGACACTCTTCAATCCACGATACTTCACCATGCTGCATCTTCACCATGCCGGTCATCCTGCTGTCTCTCTCGAGACTATCTCCTCCAACTCCACCGCGTATCACCAAATACCAGGCATCCTTACTGCGCTGACAACAAGCAGTCTGGCAAACGCTTTAACTCGGGAGATTTAGGAGAGTAGAAAATAGAAACATAGCAGTTTACTATGTATAGATAGACAGGGCTCCCCCTGGACGGTCATCTGCCAGCTGTACCTTGTATATCAGTAGTTTGAGACGAACTCCTTGACCTTGATCTGCAGAGACAGGGTCGGGCAGCAGCCGAACAAACCATCCGTAGATAGATAGCTATTTATATAACTGAAAGCTGATATTTTGTGTAGACAGTAGATAGCTATATAACTGGCTTCTTCTTCTTTCTTCTCTTCGGTGTTGGTTGTTGTCAAAAAGGTTGAACCTCGGCTCGTCTGGCACCTTCACAACATCATCCAATTCCTCGATATCACCGTTTTAATATCATCACCACTTAGTTTTACCATCACTATATACATACCTAACTATGGGCGACTTTGGGGCATCGCCCTCTATCGAGGAGACCCTCTCTTTGCCCACGGAATCCATCTCTGCTCCCCTGGACGACGACATCCACGTCCTGGTCACTGGCTTTGGCGTGAGCCCTCCTCCCTCTCCCCTCCATCGGCAGCATTAGCCTGGCCAGCACAAGAGCTAACGTAATAGACAGCCATTCAAAACACATCCACTCAATCCCTCATGGTTAATCACCTCTCTGCTCCCCAAGTACGCCCCCTCGACCTCCAAGAACCGCCGGGTACGCATCCATGCCCACCCGCGCCCTATTCGAGTGGCTTACGCTACCGTCCGCTCCGAGATGCCTTCTATCATCGAGGAGTTTCGAGCCTCGCATGACGGACGCCCGCCTCATCTCGTAATTCACATTGGCATGGCGTCGACAAGGCAGTACTATTCCGTTGAGACAGTCGCGTGCAGGGACGGATACAAGTACACTGACATAGAAGGACAGTTTGGTCTGCCTTTTGACTCTACTTCGCCTGAACGCCTACATCCCGGTGTGCCTTCTTCTACGCCTGGAGGGGCAACAGAGAACATCACTGTGAAGCCCTCGCCGCTGGATACGGCGTTCCTACAGACATGGCGTAAGAGTCTGCCTCCGGGACGTGCGATTGATGTGCGACTGTCTCACGATGCGGGGCGGTATCTATGTGAATATATATATTACACTAGTCTCTCCATGGCCTGGGAGGAGCAGAGGCCGCGAGGGGTCGTCTTTCTGCATGTTCCTGGATGGACGGACAAGGCCAGTGTGGAGATGGGTGCCGATGTCCTGGTGGGGCTTGTCCGGGCGATGGTGGAGAGCTGGATTACCGAGAGGGATGCTATATGATGATGATTATGCTCTGATATATACGAGAGGTTTTTTTTTTTTTTTTTGGGATTTCGGACTAGCGATACCATGACTATATGACTGTATGACTCTGCATTCAATGTGACTTGACTGTTTTACTTGGCTTACGATTACAGCCATGGAACGGAGGTAGATGAAATTTATGACATCTGATCACTGCTGTTGAAGTACATCAATGCCTACTCCCTAACGTATTGATGGAAGGGTTGAACGAGTGAGAAAAAGGAACTTGATATATATATGTGAAAAAAAAAAAAGTCTTCCTTTACATCTTTGCTTTCAACGGCCTCCGATCATGTTTATGCTTGGTAAGTTGAGGCGGAGACATTGCCCCCCCTCCCCGTCCAGTTGACGTGGATGTTCTCGCCCTCAGGGTACTTCTCACTTGCATACTCGGGCTTGATCCGGAACGTGTGGGCGCCAAAGTAGTCTCGCTGAGCCTGTAGCAGATTGGCCGGCAGGTCACGCGATCTGTAGCCGTCGTAGAAGCTCAGTGCCGTGCTGAAGGCAGGGGTAGGGATGCCCCAGAGTGCGGATTTGGAGACCACGTCACGCCAGCCGGCCTGCGCGTTATGGATGGCCTTGTTGAAGAAGTCGTCGAACAGCAGGTTCTCGAGGTCGGGGTTGGTGCGGTAGGCGTTAGTGATGTCCTTGAGGAAGACGGAGCGGATGATGCAGCCGCCTCGCCACATCAGGGCAATGGATGGCTTGTTCAGCTTCCACTCGTATTTTTTGCCGGCCTAGTAGCGTTAGCAAGAAAGTGGACGAAACATTTGGAGGGTTCGATATTGCAACTGAAGGGCGATGGTTTGCATACCTCCTGGATTAACATGAATCCCTGGGCATAGGAGATGATCTTGGAGGCATAGAGAGCCTGCTCGAGGTTGTTGATGAACTCCTGTCTGTCACCTTTGAAGTCTGGCTCGGGGCCCTTCAGCACCTTACTGGCACGGATACGCTCATCCTTGAGCGAGCTAAGGCATCTGCCAAAGACGGCCTCTCCTATGAGGGTGACCGGCATGCCGAGGTCGAGAGCATTGATGGCAGTCCATTTGCCAGTTCCCTTTTGGCCGGCGGCGTCAAGGATCTTTTCAAGCAGGGCAGTGCCGTCGTCATCCTTGTGGCGGAGGATATCTCTGGTTATCTCGACCAAGAAGGAATCAAGAACTCCGTTGTTCCATTTCTCAAAGACATCACCGATCTCAGCAGGGGTCATTCCTAGACCCCGCTTAAGGATATCATATGCCTGTCCAGTCAGTTAGATAGGGTAACATAGATGCATATATAGAGAGAGAAGAACAAACCTCGGTGATCAATTGCATGTCTCCGTACTCGATACCGTTGTGTACCATCTTAACGTAGTGTCCGGCACCCTCATCACCGACCCAGTCGCAGCAGGCCTCACCATCACTCTTGGCCGCAATGCTCTGGAAGATGTCCTTGATGAAGGGCCAGGCCTCCTCGTTACCACCTGGCATCAGACTGGGGCCGTAGCGAGCACCTTCTTCACCCCCAGAGACACCAGTGCCAACGAATCGAATGCCCTTCTCTGCCAGATACTTGGTTCGACGGTTCGAGTCTGGGTAGTGAGAGTTGCCTCCGTCGATGATGATGTCACCCTTTTCGACGAAGGGGAGGAGACTCTCGATGAAATCGTCAACCGGCTTCCCGGCCATGACCAACAGCATGATACGACGGGGTTTCTTCAGCTTGGAGCAGAATTCCTGGACTGAGTGGGCTCCAACGATAGATTTGCCTGTTCCATAGTACACATCAGTCTCTATATCCGGAGAAGCGTATACAGTATAAACAGCAGAACTACCTACCCTTGGCCTCGTTGGCGAGAAACCTGTCGACCTTTTCGACCGTACGGTTGAACGCAACAACGGTGAATCCATGGTCTGCCACGTTCATGATGAGATTCTGGCCCATCACAGCCAGGCCGATGAGGCCGAAATCAGCACTGCCTGGTCAGTATCACGTTGACTACCCTGACGGAAGAAGGGCTGACTTACACTGCTTGGTCTGCCATGGTGAAGTAACTCTCGAATTGGCTTGTTCGTCTGTCTTGTTTTCTCTGAGCTGTGGTGAAGTAGAAGAAGAGGAGGAGGACGAAGAAGAAGAAGATGATGAAGGTGAAGCGGGGAGAGAAGTAGGAAAGTCGATGACTAAAGTGGAAGTTCCAGAACTTAAGATGTTTTACATAGATATTTATACAGACATAAAAAACTATCTATACAGATATATATAGAGAGAGAGAGACTGGTTACTACATTCCGATAATAGAGACTGCATACTACATGCTGGATACACCAATTGAGGCTGCTCGTCTAGATATGCCGGCTCCCACTTGCTGCTCCCGCTCCATGCGCCCTCGCTTGTACGCTGCCCACCATGTCCGACGCTGCCGTTGCCCTCTTCGCCCGATGGTTCCCCCGGGGATATCGAAGGGAAAAGGGAATGGAAAACGAGGACGAGCAAGCATCCGGGATGTCTCTTGGAGGGCAGATGCAGCGTTATGTCACTGAGGGGCAGCAACTTTTTCATCATCCCTGGCCTGGGTTCGGATGGTTTGGGTGGCCTGCAGCGACCGGGAGCATGAGGTGCGTCTTCCTATCCTTGCCTCCCTGTCTGGTGGTCGTCCTCCGTCCTCCGTATGCTTTTTTTGCCTTTTTTTGCCTTTGCTTTTCGTCGTCGTCGTCGTCTTCTTGTTGTTCTTGATGGAAGAAAAAGAAAAAAAAAAAAACATCGAAGATATTACATAATAGCTTCATTAGTCAGTTCTTAGTCAATGGGTTGGGTTAGTAATCGTTGACTAATAACCCTATTACTAATACTTTGCTCATCATCACGTGAATATCAACTTCATCAAAACCTCCAAAAGTAAGAAAAAAGTTGAAGGTGAAAAGACAAGAAGGAAAAAGAAGATTAACGAGAAAGGAATAGAAGAAGAAGAAGAAGAAAAGAAGGCAACGAGGGAGAGTATCAAGGCGACAGCGGCTCGCGACTTACATCTGGTGCCCCAACTTGCTCCAGCAAGACTCCAAGGTACGTGTGCTGCAAGCATCTCCTGCAGAACACAAGGGTTGTTTGTTCTCTGCCTCTGCCTGTCTCTCTGTCTCTATCTATCCATATATCTATCTGTCTGTCTGTCTGTCGAGCAATCCGTTCATCATGTCCCTACCGCCTCCTCCAGGTCTCCAGCGTCCACCGCCATCGCAAACCGCCCCGCAGGCCCAGCAACCACCGGCCTCGCTGCCTGCCCGTCCGCCATCCACCGCATCCTCATACACAGCTGCTGCCGCTCCGGCCACCGTCTCGAGGCCTCCTAGCCATGGACCAGACATATCTAGGCCAGCTGTCGGGGCAGCTTACGGTTTCCAGCCACGTGCCGTAGCTGCGCAATCGTACCGCGCACCCGCGTATCCTACATACAACAATAGCACGGGCTATCAATATCAGCAGCAGCAGCAGCAGCAGCATCAACCACATCACCAACATCAACAGACGTACCAGGCACAACCGACGTCGTACTACGGCCAACAGACCCAGCAGTCATACAATAACAACACCTCTACATATAACCAGCACAATGGGTACCCGCAGAAACGAAACAATGCAGGCTCATACGGAGCCAGGTCAGGGCAGCCACGGTACGGCGAATCCACCGGTGACCCCGAGATGGACGCTCAGATTGCACAGTGGCAGAGTGCATACATGAGCAAGGACAGCAGTGAGGCTGCCGCTGCCGCTACCCCGTCTTCTACCGCCGCTACGGGAGCCAACAGCGGTCCTCTGGGCTCCATTCAGCGTCTACATGACCCATCAGCCAGTACAGCATCGACTCCGCCGAGCGGAGCAGCCACCACGGCCGCTGGCACCCCCCTCCCCATCCCCAACCAAGGCCTGGCTGCGGCCGCTGGCCAGGAGTCATCTGCTGAGCCAACCAAGACTGTCCTACGCTCTGGCGGTGGCCAGACGTGGACGGACTCGACGCTTCTGGAGTGGGATCCGGCTCACTTCCGGCTCTTCTGCGGCAACCTGGCCGGCGAGGTTACGGACGAGTCGCTGCTCAAGGCCTTCTCCAAGTATCCGTCTGTGCAAAAGGCGCGGGTGATCCGGGACAAGCGGACGGAAAAGAGCAAAGGGTACGGCTTCGTCAGCTTCTCGGACGGGGACGACTATTTCAAGGCTGCCAGGGAGATGCAAGGCAAGTATATCGGTTCGCACCCCGTGCTGCTGAGACGAGCCATGACGGAGATCAGGCCCGTTAGTGCATCCAAGGGCAAACACGCTAAGGGCAAGGGCAGACACGGCCACCATCACAGCAGCGGCAGCGGTATTGGACGAGAGAACAAGCCTGCTGCCGTCGCCCCGGGCAAGACAGACGGCGGCGTGAAGAAGCAGAAGACCAAGGGCGGCCTCAGGGTTCTAGGATAGTTCATCAATAATAATACTACCTTCTTCTTCTCCATAATGTTCCGCTTTATATCTCCAACGTCATCCTTACATAAGCATCACAAAACTCCAAACTTCAACTTCAACTTTTTCGTCTTGATATTATTTTTATATCAACTTGAAGAACTTCTTCCTCTTCTCTCTTCTTCCTGTCGAGTCGGGCTCTTCTCGCCCCTGTTTTCTTCTGTTCTTGCTCTAACGACTTTAATATCTATTCTTTTTCTTCTTTTAACGCTGTGGGCGGATTTTCTACCGGGTTTGCTGGATTTGCTGGTCTTCTTCTTCTTCTTCTTATTGCAGCTATAAGTATACGGATACGTCTATCTGCTAGGGGGTTTGTTTTATTGGTATTTGCGACTGGAATCGTCCCTGTCAAGCTGTGATTTTTCTTTTCTGTATACTCGACTCTTCCACGCGACCAAATAAGAAAAAGAAAGAAGCCCAAAAAAAAAGGGACGACGGCAGGATATTCAACTTGAAGGCGAATATTTCATCGCATTGCGGACCAAGTTGACAGACAGTGCGACTCATGATGGCGACAGAGAACAAGCGCCATGCCTCCGCAAAGTCGCAGGGTCAAGACCACCATGGCTTTGGGCCTTCGGGGACGGTGAGCCTCGAGAAGGCCCTCAGCTCAGCAATTGGCGCCAGGTCAGTCTATTGGTGTTGAATATATTGATGTGTGCGCGTGAGTGTGTGTATTGATAGCTAATTGTGTGTAGAATCCGAGTAACTACTACGCAGCCGGCCTCAGTGACCATCGAGGGAACGCTCTTCACCGCATGTCCCATCACAAATATCATCGCCATCAACACGTCCACCGGCTCCAGCACATCGTCGGGCAACGCGGCATCACCTGCCCTCGCTCTCTTGCAGCCAGGAGACTTCACCATACTCCCCATCACCCGCATCCAGAGCTTCAACCTGCTCTCCCTCTCGTCAGACTCGCCCTCGTCCTCCCACAGCAATGGGGCCTTCTCCTCTGCACAGCCAGCCATCTACCCGCTTGATATTCGTGCCCTACGCAACCGCGAGGCCGCTGCCATCGCCCGCCTGAAGGACCATGAGTCCTCGAGGGGTAAGGGGGTCTCAAAAGAGGCCCAGGACCTGTTCGATGCCTTTAAGCGGACAATGCCGACTCACTGGAGCGGAACGAGCATCGTCGTGGCTGACTCGGTGGTCATTGCTGCTCCGTATGGCGTGGGTGACTGCAAGACACTCAACCTGGCCGGCAGAGACGACGTCGCCGGCACCGCTTTAACCCGAGTGCGCAAGGTGGTGAGTACCTGCATACATATGTACATACATACATATATACTGACAACGACAGCTTGAAATGGAACGAAAGAAGATTGAGCTCCGTCGCGCCAGCACCGCGATGGCAAAGTCGGGAAACTTCCCCAAGAGCAATAACAACACTGATGGACCCGTGAAGAAGGTCTCTACGGCCGGACCAGGCACACCGTCTGCCGCCAGCACCGCCGCAGCTACACCGCGAGACCCACGGGCTGCCGTTGCAGTCCCTATACGCAGCAACACCCCGTCCGGCAGCTCGCCCTCGCAGAGAAAGGGCGGATGATCTGGTTTGAAGCCTGGGCAGGAGATGTCGAGAGGTGAATACTCTACTATCTGGTCTACTGGTACTATCTGTTTAGCCATCTATCCGCGTACGCCTGACCTTTGTCCATAATACATACATGCATATGCTCGTACCTGTACTCGAGGCGTCACGCGACATGAAACCCGTTGAGGTGCATATTATATAGCCAGTATAATAAGACTCATCTCATATCTCATCTACTCAACCTCTACTCATTATCAATACTATCACTACAACTATGTATACACATATTCACATACTATCACTGCAACTACGTCGCCGTGTTTGCTGTGATATCAAGCTTGGCTGAGTTTTTACTAGTTTGGGAATATCAAACCAACTTCAAATTTCTTCACAGCCTCAAGGCTTCTCACAGCCGACAGAAGATACAACTCCCAGCTACAAACCGCACAGTATCGTATATGAGAGTATACGACAGCATACACTACACCCGCAACAGCTGGTCTGCTTGTCTTCAACCTCCGATTTCGGCCTACGAAGCTGTCTCGCTCCGTCTCTACCACAAACGGCCTTCTACAAGCCTACAGGAGGTACAGGAGCCATCATACTACAACAGCAGCTGGAGCCCCGAAAGCGAGTTGACCGCCGCTGGTGGTCTAGGATGGGCTCTCTCAGCGCGAGCCCATCCCTCACGGCCACCGTGATCGAGTCCGCCATCGACGACGAGGAGATCGGTCTCACGCCCCAGCAGCGACGGCACAAGCAGTGGCGCGCCAGGAAGAGACAGCAACGTGAAGAGCTCGATAACATGGTGCCCAACAATGCTCTGCGCATGGCAGACCGTACGGTCATAAAGAAGCTGGCCATTAATGCCCTCTTCATCGGCCTGTGGTACTTCTTTGCCGTCTCCATATCACTCGTCAGTACTCTCACACACACTCTCTCTATACATATACACCTTTATATACGTGCTAACTGATAGTGATAGTATAATAAATGGATGTTTTCACCTGGAAACCTGAACTTCAAGTTTCCGCTCTTCACCACCAGCCTACATATGCTTGTGCAGTTCATACTCGCCTCGATACTGCTCTACTTCTTCCCTTCCCTGCGTCCGCCTCTGACTAGCCCCGATGCAGCCATGGGGAAGCCCAACGCTCCCTCGTTGACCCCGATATTCTATCTCACCCGTCTCGTGCCCTGCGGGAGCGCTACCTCGCTCGATATTGGCCTGGGAAACATGTCTCTGCGCTTCATCTCCCTCAGCTTCCTTACTATGTGCAAGTCCTCTGCGCTGGGCTTTGTGCTGCTCTTCGCCATCGTATTTGGTCTAGAGACGCCCTCTATAAAGCTCGTCTTGATCATATGTACCATGACCCTCGGGGTGGTCATGATGGTTGCTGGCGAAGCCTCCTTCCATGCCGTCGGTTTCGCCCTCATAATCGCTTCGTCCTTTTTCTCCGGTTTCCGCTGGGCTCTCACCCAAATCCTCCTGCTGCGGCACCCTTCTACCTCGAACCCCTTCTCGACCCTCTTCCTGCTCACACCCATCATGTTCGTCTCCTTGCTCGCCATTGCACTATGTGTCGAGGGATACCACGAGATCCTAGCTGGCATCCACACCCTTGCTACCGATCACGGCTCCTTCAAGGTTCTACTCTTTCTCTCCTTCCCGGGCATGCTAGCCTTTTGCATGATATCGTCCGAATTCGCGCTCCTTCGACGCTCATCTGTCGTCACTCTGAGTATCTGCGGTATCTTCAAGGAGGTCATCACTATTGCTGCGGCAGGCATCTTTTTCAACGAGGTGCTCAGTCTGGTCAACGTTGTGGGCTTGATCATCGCCATATCAAGCATTGCTTGTTACAACTACATGAAGATAAGCAAGATGCGCAAAGAGGCTCTTTCGGAGCGAGAAACGGTCGACGATGATGAGGACGACGGGTACGAGAGTCCTGGCCCCAGCTCTGGTCTCATGGATGACGGACAGGGCCACAGACACTCGTCTCCTGCTGCAGATGGCCGCTGGGGCGGACTCGTAGACCAGCTGAAGGCAGCCTTTGGAAATAATCGGAACCTCTCAGGTCCCCGATACCAGCCCATGCATGCATCCGCTGAGCCTTGAATGGGGACATCTCCAATGGACGACACTCACATATGTATTACAAAGGCCGTCCCCATGTCGGACAGACACTTTGGATCCAGTTCCCCGGACCCGGGCCGGTTCCTGCGTTGCGGATTGGAGGGTTAGGGAGGATAAGTGCCCCTTTCCCTTACATGATATTGTTTGTCTTAATATGGAGTACCTGATCACATTCACCCTTTTATCCGGTTTGTGGAACAGGGAAACAGAGAAACAGAATTACTATATATATTGGCTATGCTATTTTTTTTTTTTTTTTGTATCTGGACTTTGCTCAACATACACTTCCAAGGTTTCTGCGCCTGCTTAGATGATACCTTTGGCAATAACCTTTGTTGGCCTATCTCGGTTTACTAATTCTCTTCTTTTCCTATTACTCAGTATACAACTTGTGGGTTGGCATCATTGGCATTATTCAGTTTGGAAGTCTGCGTGTCAACATTAATTCAACGTGCAATTTTGCATAGATACATATAAATCATTCACATTGACCCATTTGACAATTCTATACTTTATATCTCTAACGCAGTTCAAAGTGGATATCAAACCGATTCAACTCTTCAACTGCTTACTAGCAGACACACACCAGTTATTCCAATCAGAAAAGAACGAAGCCTGAACATGACACTTGTTGCTCAACAGCTGCTTTTTGCGCGTATCAGCGTATACATCCACAATCCCCGAGACTGATTCCTTTTCATGAGCCACAAGGACCTTCGCAAGCAAAAGGCTTGCCTGGCTGCAAGACGTAGCGTGTGGACCAGACGCACTATGCGTAGCCTCGCTGTGCACTTGTTTGAGCAGGTCCCAGACTAGCTCAGTAGACTCGATTTCGGGCACAGACGAACCCTTGCACAGTCTCGTATATTCCCGAAGAACATTGGCCGCTTTCTGAACGAGTTGCTGCACACTTGATTTTCGCAGCAGCTGCAGGAGTGGGAGAATAATATCAAGCGCCAGGAGGTTAGAGTGGCATTTCTTGACGTATATGTCAAGCAGGTCGAGAACTCTGTTCTTGAAATTGATCATGGTCTCTTTGGCATCCTTTTTATCCTTCTTCTTGCTTGATGCCTGCTCACGGGCCTGGAAGACCTTGACAAGTTGTGCATCTATAGCCTCCATGTCATCGTCTCCCATATCGGAACCGTCAGAGCCGTCGGATGCATCTAGATCTTTATCGGCACGATGAGTTCCCAGTGCTGCAGCGAGTTTCGCGTCAAACTCAGCCAGGTTTTCATCATCGTTCTCGCCATCATCTTCATCTTCGTTGTCGTCTTCTTCCTCTTCTTCGGATTCAGATTCTGATGCAGCATCAGCTATCTCAACATCAGACCCATCAATCATTTCAACATCACTATCGTCTTCCCCTTCTTCGTCGTTTTCATCCTCATCATCCCTGTCGAATAGCTCCTGCTGACCTGCCAAACTTTCCTTTGCGTCAAGGACCTAGACCAATTAGACGACGTAGTTAAAGCCATTGATCAAAAAGCAACACTCACCGTGAGTAGGGAATGCAGTCCAGTATGAGTTAGTTTATTCGCAAAGGCTCCAAAAACCTGCACACTCATCGTTCGGAACAGATGAGAAGGCTTAGAAGCAAAACTGAGGAGAATCTCCACAAGGGCGTCTGATGCTTGATCGCGTTCTTCATGGTTAGCCTTCTTGGGGCTTAAGAACTTGTCATAGCATAGTTTCAGCTCATCTAGCATAGACACAGCATCGCCATCGCCATTGTATGTCTGGAGGATAGTAAGAGAATAGAGCAATTTGAGTCCCTGGACAGTCTGGTCCTGTTGCCCATCGTCTTGTTTACTCTGCAGCGAATTAGCCGAATGTGTACATATAGAGAAGGCACAATTACACTAACCTTTTTATGGATCTTCTTGAGCGTCTTGAATGCGGACTGGACAGACTCTGTAATGCTCTCACTCATATCAATGATAAAATTTCCAGGATTTTCATTCTCTTCCAAGTCCCGAATCTTTTGTACAATTTTGTATGCGATATCGGCTGAGCGTTTCTGACTGCTAATGACAATGTTTAAACAAGCAATTATTTTGTTCCTGAATAGCTCTCTGGTAGCATCGCTGATTGGAGGCTTCGCGGAATCCCTGGAAAAGTAAGTGTAGCGAGCAAGCGTAAGAATAATCATCTCAACAGCTGCGTCTAGCTCCTCAGAACTGCTCTCTTTAGCCGCAGCCATTAGAGACTTTGTAATTGTTTGGAGAAAATTGGCGATCTGCTGGCGTCTGGATGCAGACACCTTCTCATCAGCATCAGGATTGACGATCAGCCCCTCGAAAAAAGGCATGAGTTGCTTGATTGCGGTATGGGGTACATCGTTAATAATCTTTTCGACAACCTTGACTTTGGCAATCTGATCAAAGTTGATAGCTCCCCGAGGCCCCATGAGCCCACATAATGCAGGATAAGCAAACTCGGATTCCTTCGACACTCGGGCCTGTATCGACTTTGCAGCTTTAACGGCAATTTTATGGAGGTAGCGGTCTTCAACAGCAAGCTGATTCACCAAGCAGCGCATGAAATTCTGAGTGAAAATTAGGCTAGCTACCTCAATTGGCGCCTCGTTCAACACTTTCATAAATACCAGGAAACCCCAGTACTTGCGCTCTTCTGATGAAGCAGCTGCAAACAAACCACCTATTCATACACTTTAGCAAGAAATTTATGGCCCATCTGAAATCTGAGGTAACTCACAGTCAACTACCTCGGTCCAGAAGTCGGAGAATGCCAACTGTCCTGCCTTGCCCTTTTCCCCCTTATCCTCGATTGGTGGCTTTTCCACGGGAGAAGTATACAACTTGGCCAGAATCGGGTCCCATGCAAAGGGGAGTTTTGGGTTCCAGACTCCGGAGCTCTTGATCGTTGTATCTTCGCCATTTGATGCATCCTGACCTGAGGACTCTTTCATAATTTTAGCCAATGTAGCTTTCTCTCGAGAGTTTAACGGGTTATCATGGTTCCAGACACCATAAGGGAAGACGACTGGTGGAGACAAAGAGATATCCATGGCCGCTAACCAGATCGCAACACCTTCAGGGGTTTTTGCAAGGTTATTCTCGCACAGCGCAGCAAGTGCAGAGTCGACATATTTCGCACTCCTGTTTCGCGCACCAATATCACGTATCGCGTAGAAGATGATATACCCGCACTCTCCTCTGAGCCAGGGTTTCTTGTTGGCCAATTCAAAAACCAGAGAGAGGAGCCTAGTCCAGGTTTCAAATGGGACTTTAGGCTGAAAAAGAATTGAGCTTTTCAAAATGGCTTCTGCACCAAACAGCCTGCCAAAGTGGCGGTCTCTCTCTTCCTGTTCATTTATTAGTTATCTTGTTAAATTAAAACTGAAAATAAGGATGTATATTCTCCGTACCTGACCAGATTCGGCATTCGAAGTGTTTGTATTCGACTCTAGGAGGTCAATTGCTTTTGACACATCCATGTCCAAGACAACCTTCTTCCCCTCGCCCTTAGACTGACCAAAGAGAATAGACAAAAGTTCAGTCAAGGCAATTGAAAACCCTAGCCTGGCAGCCTTTCGACTGCTACAAAGTCCACGAAACAGTCTCAACAAGGCCTTTTCGACATCTTCAGGTGCCGGGTTCGCATCTGGCGTGAATCGCGAGAGCAAGTCACTTGCAGCTTTGAGTCTGATTTCATCGTTCTCGTTGCTCAAATCGTCGTATATTTCTACAAGTTTGACATCCACATTTACCTTTTCGCGGCGGCGTTTCTTAGGATTGAAGGACGACATAGCGCATCCAGGTTAAAGTTGCTCCCAATACGCTCCAAACGGCTCAAACAGGTTGTTTCCAGTGTGTTGTAGTGACTTTAATCCTCGAAGATGAAATTTCCCTTGAAATATTTGAAAATATTTGAAGAGGTTATTACCGAATGCGGTTAGTCTGTATAGAACCATTTAGGCTTAGCTCGATTTATGAACAAAATATACATACGATAGTGTTGATATGTTTGGTTATAGGAATATCGCAGTATATAAGATAGTAGATATGTGGGTATGGCTATTGTATTGTTTGTAGTTGATGCTATAGGTAGATAGTCCATTTTATTTGTATCTGGCGTGGTTGAGCGGAGGATATGGTTACTGTAGTAGTTAAAGCGAAGAAATGATATCGCGATTGATATACTGATATGGCTGTTCATCTGGAGAGATATTTACATATTGAATGATGTTCTAAGTGACTTGGGGTTATAAATATGGTTATTTTATCATTCCATTATTCCATCATATATCACGTATAAGGATGAGATCAAGTCCGGGGATAAACCCGGCGAGGACCCGAGAGTTTACTATATAAATGGACCATAAAATACGGCTTTCCAGATCTACACTACATTCAACATATAAGATGGCCAGCCTAAGTGCTAAACGAACATACCGCATTGCATCTATACCGGCAGATGGTATTGGTCCAGAGGTTATAGGGGCAGGGATAACAGTGCTGAAGAAGCTGACATCTACGCTGGGCAAGTTTGAGCTAGAGTTTGAAAACTTCGACTGGAGCAGCGAGTACTACAAGAAGAATGGCAAGTATCTACCCGACGATGCATTGACTACATTGAAGAAATTTGATGCGATACTCTTTGGGGCCGTGGGGGCACCTGGTAAGGACATAACTCGGTTAAGGGGAGGGGGATGATAACAAGATTTAAGAAGCTATAACAAGCTAAAAGTTGGATAGATGTGCCTGACCACGTATCCCTTTGGGGTCTACGCCTTGCCATCTGCCAACCACTGCAGCAGTACGCCAATGTGAGGCCAACAAAGGTGTTCCGGGGCACGCAGTCTCCCCTCCGCGGCTGCACTCCCGGAGACCTGGACTGGGTAATCATCCGTGAGAACTCCGAGGGCGAATATGCAGGACAGGGCGGCCGGAGCCACGTAGGCCGGGCGTGGGAGACGGCGACGGAGGTATCCATTTTCACTCGCCACGGCGTGGAGAGGATTATGAGATTTGCCTTTGAGACGGCACGGAGTCGAAGCAGGAAACAGCTTACCGTAGTCACGAAGAGCAATGCTCAGCGGAACGGACTGGTGCTTTGGGACGAGGTGGCGGCCGAAGTAGCAAAGTCATTCCCGGACGTGAAGTGGGATAAGATGCTTGTTGATGCCATGACGACTCGGATGGTGCTGAAGCCGGAGAGCCTGGATGCCATTGTTGCTACGAACCTGGTAAGCACTCACCTCTCCAACTCAATCCTCCTGCGGTCTGGAGACCTCCGTCATTTGTGCTCCATGAACCGAGGCAGCTGACACCGACATGTTTTCACCCTTCCACAGCACGCCGATATTCTATCAGATCTGGTAGCTGCCCTGGCAGGGTCCATCGGGATAGCACCCACGAGCAATCTCGATCCGACACGCGAGAACCCGTCAATGTTCGAGCCCATCCACGGCTCTGCATTCGACATAACCGGAAAGGGCATCGGTATGTATATATATCTGTAGCCAAGTTATCTTTTATTTAATTTTTTTTCATTTCCCTTCCCTGTTTTTGGTATCCCATTCTTGTTTCTTCCTATAACAGCATATACTAATGAAGGTATAGCCAACCCTGTGGCCACTTTCTGGACAGCCTCTGAGATGCTGGCCTGGTTGGGAGAGAAAAAAGCGGCAGACCTGCTGCTGGAGTGCGTCGAGGCCGTGTGCGAGAAGGGAGTGGCCACGCCGGATCTGGGAGGCAGACAGACGACGGTCGAGGTGACAAATGCCGTGTGTAAGGAGATTGAGGGCCGGTTGGGGAGGTAACTGTTTGGCAAACTGCTAGGTAAACTGCTAGGTTAAGATAAATTGGAAGTGTATCGAGTTATCGACGGGCCTAGTAATGTTCAAATAGTGAGGCGTCTCTCTTTGTCTCTGCCCCTTTTTATATGTATGAGCATTTTGCAACCTTCCGTAATTGTATTCGTGCCCAACGCTTGTAATATAAGGGACCCAGGTGGACCTTGTATAGGTAATATTCGATGGATCGATGGCCATTATTTTCTGGCTTTGCTAGTTCGAAGAAAAATTCTGCAACCAGCGATAGTCCAGAAGTTGAAACACCAAGGGGAAGAAAAGAAAACGGCCTTCAGACAGGTCAGAGAGAAAAGTTCCGATTCCATAGCCTCTTCCATTTAAGGAGAAGAAAAAGAAATGATCTGATAGTTGAAGCTCTGGGCCGGACCGTGTAGCCTTCTTTGCTGTATATATTTCTTATAGCTGTGTCTATGTACGTATCTATATATTGTCAGTGTCTAGTAAAGAGAGGCCGGAGATGAAGCTGTTACACCGTTGCCCAGGCATCCTGTCTCCCTTGCGCCTCCTAGATCGATGCTGAGGCCCGAATGCCCATGGCAACGCAAGGGAAAAAAACCACCAAGCGTATTAACATTAATAGTTTGTTACTTATTATTTTTCTTGTCGTTTTGTGCCTTTTTTTTTGTATTTCGAGATGTTTTTTTAACCTCCTGAAGGTCACGGGACTTCGTGTATTTCTCGTTTTGTTTTAGTTTCGCGACACGAAAAGACGACAAGATGAGAAGACGATGGAGAGAGGAGAAGAAGAAGATGATGAAGAAGAAAGGAGAGATGATGGGAAGACGACGGTAGAGAGGTGAGACGAGACGAGAGGGGACGGCCAGCTTGAACTACGACAGCTACAGCGTCATCGTGATTTATCCAAGACGGCGTTAGATGAGACAAGAGACACGCCGTTGAAGATGAAACCAGAGGATGGCTACGCTCTGATCTGCATCTGGAAGGTCGGCGAGGTCGAAAGGTCGGGTTCATGGGTCGCGGGGAGGACGGTGGTTTGGGCTCTCTTTGCTTCTTTCTTCCATCTGCTTCCGCTTCCACTTGAGCGAGAGAGAGATACCAAGCGGGCTAATCCTTTGCAGGGCATCAATCTCTCGGAGGCTTGAAGACAAGAAGAATAAACCCCACCATGGCAAAAAAACAGGAACAAGGATGGGAGGGTGCTCTCTTTTTTTTTTTTATTATTATTTTTCTTTCGACTAGCGAGCTCGATGGCGGACGGTTCTTGCCGATCAGGCCGTCCTCCATCTTCATATTCGCAGATTGGAGCTCTCTTTCTTTTTGCCTAGAAAAAGCAAACGAGATGTCAACCGGCGGTTATACCGGCCATTGACATCGTCCGGTTTATTGTTGCTATGCAAGACAGGTATATATATACACGCATCTATATGTATATGGAGACTATTATATGTGAGTGATGTGATGGGGTGATGATGCTGAGAAATGTGGCTGTTACTCCGTCCCCCTTATCCTGACGCCGATGCATTATTGGTGAAGCTACTCCCTTGTGACCTTTGGAGTCGATGACGATGATCTCCAACCGCGGGGCTGAGAACAGAAAACCTTGGGAACGCAAGGCCAGGATGCCCCTCGCTATGGGGATCCTTGCGTCTTAGTGGCCACGCTATGATGTTATAACATGTCGAAATGTCTGGATTGACGAATGGGGAGCTCCGTCTCTCCCTCTCCCTTGTCGGTTTTGGGGGCCCTTTTTCCTTCTCCTCTCTCGCACTCTCTCTATCTCCATCGAGTACTATAGTACGGAGTAAGAACGGAGTAGATATGCATGGTTGCAGCAACCATGGAGACATGCAACGATCCTAAGATGGATGCATTCAAACTAAACCGTGTATGGCCATGGAACCAACAATTAATATATAAATAGAGCAAGCAGAAGCAGAGAGAGTGAGAGAAAAAGAAAAGAGAGCCAAAAAGAGAGTTGTCCAGCTGGCTTTCTCAACTCTATTTCGCGGCTGGCTGCCCTGGTGATACGAAGCGCTAATGGGCTCCTTGTTCGTGAAGAAGGCCCAATAAGAACCAGATCTCGCACTGTCCCGATTGACTTTTTTGCTTTTTTTTCTTCCCGCCTTCCTTCAATTCCTTCTCTGGGAGCTTCCCTCGCCTAGGGCTGGCTGAGAATAGGAGCCTGGGACCCGAGAGCGTGAGCCTGCAGCTTCGGCATGCTGACAAGCGAGGGAACTTCACTGGGGACTTCTTTGCCAGAGGAAGAAGAAACCGGAAGATGGAAACCTCCGGGGAGAAAGCCAGACGACCGGAAATAGCGCGTGTGTTCCAAACATGCAAAGGGTGGAGTTTTGAGTGGTCCTGGGCGAGCAGGGGAGAAGCCTGCAACCAGGACAACTGTGTTACCCGGCTTGGAAGTGTACACACTCTCTAACACTCACACGGCGGGGGTGTGTGTAATAGACGAAGCTACCCTCGGCTGTTGAACCAGTGGCACAGAAAGCGTATGTACAGGAAATAGGAAAACGATGGCTGGTTGACCAGAGCAAGGAGGAGGACAAGAAGGGAGGAACCGAAAAACACTGTTCTATTGAAAGGTTGTATATTATATCCTGCATGTTAAATTCTTTGATGCGGATATCCTTGGTCTGGCCGTGCCTTGGACGCTTGTTACATCCACAGTACGTTGTCTGGTTACATTGGTGCATTTTATATATACACATATGGAGTTACAGAGTACAGGATACCAGGTTATACGACACACCAGAACTCCCCCCATCACCAGGAGACAAGACAGAGAACGGAAGGGAGATGGCCCTCCGTGTGCTGCAACAGTTTACTGTCAACGAACGGTCGTGTGCTATGGCTCCAGCTAACTACAACCATCGATCTTTCAGCTCCATACGGAAGAACAACCAAGAACGGGATTCGACAGCCGAACTATACTTGTGTACACTGTATATACTGTGTATATCATGAAAGTATATAGTTGAGTAATCGTACAGCATCGACATTTATTTGGTTCTCCCGGCCGATCTACCACTCTTGTGTATACAGCACCAGAGGATTCCTCACCATGGGGTTAGTTGAGTACCATGATATGTCAGAGTAAACAAACCGGTCAGCCTTACACTCTTAGCAAAGACACTAGACCCTCGCTGCCCCTGGATACTGTGACGGAGGATGCAGTAGCTCTGTCTAGCCAGCGGCAAGCATCGCAAAAAAAAAAAAAGAAGCCATGCGATGGCGATTGGCTGCAGCCATGCAAAGATACCCCGGCCCTGTGAGAGTACATCACTTTTGC